ACAGAGTCAATGTTGGAAGAAATGTTATCTTTATTTTGTACATCAATAAGAAGGGGGGCTAGGGAAGGGTAAGTGGAAGGAGGTGAGGGAGGAATGGGGTACGAGCCCCCGATGGGGAGGACTGGGCTGGCTCTGCGGGCTTCTGGGGTTGGAAGCTCTCCTGCAGCCCCCCAATTGCCCCCTCTCCCCAGATGGCAGCCTGCGGCAAATGCAGCCGGGCTGATGACCGAGTGCTGTGATGTGCCGAGTGTGGGCACTCAGGGCACTCCAAGCCAGGACTGCTTTGCAGGCGGGGAACCCCTGAGAACTGTCTGTCCGGGGTGGGGGTCGGGACCCTTTAAGCACAGCCCTCAGCTAGCCTGAGACAGCAGCTCCACACTCTAAGTCCTAAACTGATGCCTTTCCGGCACTGCTTCCGGCCATCCTTAACCTCAGTTCAGGGTCCACTCAATGTGGACATGGAAGTTTGAATTAGCAAAATGCTAATTCGAACTAGTTTTTAGGTCTAGATGCACTAGTTTGAATTAGCTTAGTTCAAATTAACTAATTTGAACTAAGTTAGTTCGAATTAGTGCTGTAGTGTAGACCTACCCTGAACTAGGAATGAGAAGACCTGGGTTTTGTTTTGGGCTCTATCACAGTCTGTTGCGTGACCTTGCATAAGTTATTTCACTCCCTGTGCTTCAGCTTCTCCATCTATAAACCGGGGATAATTCTACTTGTTCCTTTGTAAAGTGCTTTGAGGTCTGTTGCTAAAAAGATGCAAGCTAGGTAGTATGGTCACAGAACACACACAACATGACAACATACAGCTCAGAATGACAACAGTTTCCCCCTTTGCAATTCTGTCAATAGTCATGCTGTGTCTTCTCCCCACTAGTATCAGTGACTCCCTCACATATATAAACACATCCACACCAGCTGCTTAATCTCTGTAGCAGAATTTTGCAGGAGGGTCGCCTGTGAATATGTGACTTGACAAGGCTGTGGTAGTTGAATTGGGTTATCGAATGCAGCAGCCTTGGCCAATGAAAAAGAAGGTGCTGGCAGTAGAACTAATTTTCTAAACATCCTTCCTAGATGGCAAAATGTCAAACGTCGTATTTCCAGAAGGATTCAATTCTCCCTAAGCAGCTGAGGAGCAATTTCCCTTGTAATGTTATAAGTGCTTCTAGACTAGTGTCTGCTCCCTGCCAGAGCTCGGCTCCACCCTGCAAACCACCCATGTTGATAGAGTACTTGGCTATTTCCACTTCGATGAGGGTTTCCCCTTTTCCAGTAAGGAGCGATAACGGAAGTTTAAAAGATGACCCCTCCCCCCATTCCTGGTACTCAAACCTTCAAAGCCTGATTGGTTGGCAGACCCTGCCAGTCTCCAATTAGATCACATCATTGCTTAGGAGTGGTCTCAGGGGACGGTTGCTTCAAGTGTTCATTATTGGAATGTGTCTTCCATGTATAGGGGTACAGCCTAATTGGACCCCTCACCACAGAGGGAGGTTGGCTGATCTGTTTAAGAAAAAGTGCTCCAAACTGTGAGGTCCTAGGGGAGTCTAGATTCTCTGGTGCACAGCCCCTCTTCTCTCCCAAAGCACCCTACCAAAGGGCTTGCGCAGAGCAGAGCTGCAGTCCGGTTCTCCAAGGTGTTCCTAGGAGCTGAGCTTGAAGTAGGCTTCAACTGTAGGGAAGGCAAACAGGATGTATCAGAGCAGGGAGACAGACTAGCCACAGTGCTCTCTGTTATGAGGCGGGTAGGCAGGTACAGGTGGAGAGAAGTGAACAGCCTCCTGGCACTTACTTGCATACTCCTGGGGGGTCATGGGCTGCTCGATGACCTGACTGAAGGCCACAATCCAGTCCTGCTGGTCGCTCTCTGTCTCGCAGGTGAAGAGATACTCCCGGTCTGGGGTGACAATAGTGAGGCCATACTGCCAGGAGAAGCTGCCCTGAGTTCCTGGTGGCAGCCCTGGGTTGACGCTGTATCCCTGCTTCCTACTGCCCACAAACACCTCGCCTTTAGCAAATGCATCCTACAGAGTAGGAGGGAAAGGCAGATTTGTCATAGGGAGGGATTTGCAGACGTCCAAACTAGGGATGTAAAATCCCCTTTATTTAGTTTAATGATGTTTAACTGGTTAACCAATTAAATGGGAGGGGGACTGGAGTGTCATCCCCCTTCAGTTAACCATAACTGGTAAGCCTCACCCATCCCTAATCCAAACAGATGTGGCCCAGAAACACCTGAGCTAAGGGAGTTGGGAAGAGGGGACAAAACAGGTGAGTGCAAAAAGTCTGGGAGGAAGGTGACAATGAAGCAGATAAAGGGAGCTGGTGATTCATAACACCAGGAGAGTTATACTCAGAAGAAGCAACTAAGAGGGGAAGAGATTTGGGAAGCAGGGAGTGGTGCAGTAATCTTTATAACAGTGTTTCTCAACCAGTGGTACGAAAACACTTAGCGGTACTCGAGAGAAATCTGGGGGGGTGCATTAACACAACTGAAATTTGGAGAAAACTGATTTTTTGTTTTAAATTTTAGTGTTTTATTATTTTTCTACTTTTTACACACAAAAATGTCATCATCTGCCTGGCTACGATTAAGTTGTTTAAACAAATGTGTTGCAATGGTAGAAAATTTTTGTGTGTGTCTGAAAATGGTAGGTACTGGGGATAATTATAGTTAAAAAAAAAGGATTTTATTTAAATAAAAAAAAGGTTCAGAAACACTGCTCTAGAACAAGAAATCAAAGAATGTGAAGGGAGGAACTGGAGGTGTTATTAGAAGGGCATTAAGGGGCGTTACCCAGAGGGTGGCTGGATAAACAAGGTCTCCTATCCTCCTTTCTGCTGTACTGAGATAGCATCACTTCCTCCATTATAACCCAGTCGCCATTGCTTTCAGAACTAATGCAAGCACAGGAAATGGTATGATTGGGGAGGGGAATACGTGTGGAATGGGTAGGCCAAGTGTCCATTGATGGACATTTAGGGAATTGTGTCTTGCCTCCACCGGACCAGAGAAAGGGACCATCTGGCTGTTCTTCACCCCAGAGCCCATCTATAAAGCTGGATGAAGTCCAACCTCTGACTTACCAGTGGATCCTTGAAGTACATGAGTCTGCGGCGATCCAGTGTGAACCAGCGCTTCTTAAAGGCCTCTCTCTGCTGTGGAGGTGAAAAGGAGACATTTATAGGAGGAGAGCACCCTCTGCAGGGCAGGGAGGGAAATTGCTACCATATTTCATTCAAATCCTGCCTTCTTCTAGACACCATAAAATGGGCTCAAAATTCCCGCCCAGGAGGGAGCACACTTCCGCTGAGGTGGGGAGGGAATTCAGTAAACTTTCAACCCTGGGTTTCCCCACCGACATGCAGACTTCTCAGGCAAAGGGCCCCAGAGCTCAGGTGACAGGGAAGTTCAGTCTCCACGCTACACATGCCTGTATGTACACACTTGATGAACCCATTCTCGTGGGATGAGTAACGAATTCAGCCTCCACGTTCACCTAACTTTGCATCTCCTCATTGCCACCCTCACTATTCCCTGACAAGACCCACGCTGCGCCCTAGCTGAGGCACGGCGCAACCTTGCCATGGGTCTTTGAGAAGTCTGGAGATAGAAAGACAAACATGAAGATGCTGACATGCACACAAGCAGGACAGGAACCCTACTGTGTCTGTGGCAGTTAGATTCCTTAGGCCATCCCACCTTACCTTGGGGCCTGTCTTCTCCATGTATCCCTCCTTCAGGAAATTCTGCATTAGTCGGCTTTTGATCTGCATAAAAGGAGAACAGTCTATCCCAGCGGCTCCAGCACACCTTTCACTTCAGCTAGTTCGTGTTCAGTCCCTCCGGCTCAGCCTGCTCCCAGTGCACCAGCTCTTCTCTTCTCCATCTTAATCATCTGCTAATGTCACCTGCCCTGTTTTCTCAAGGAAGCGGGCTGTCTCTGGGGCATGTCAGAGAGCAGCTCTTCTCTGCCCATCTCAGGCCCCTCAAACCCCAGCACTGGTAGGGTGCCAACTCCCAATGGGGAGTCCTTCCCTGGAGGGCCCTGAGAGAACAGCTAAGTTCCTCTAGCTTGGTGGCATTTGATACCAGCAGATCTCTTCTTACCTCACTGTCACCAGCAATGGGAAATGCCACCTTCAGGTAATGAAACTGCACTGCGCGTATCGCATTGAACCAGTCCACTATCTCCTGGGGAGGGAAGCAGCACGGGTAAGAGCACCTCAGAGTGGCCAGCGCTGAACCACCCCACCAAACAGCGCCTCAGGAGTATGTGTGAGTTTTCCCATGGCCCACACTCACACAGCGTTCCTCACTTCCTCCCAAAAGCCTCTATACCAGACTCCCAAATTGTACCCTAGAGCAGTGGTTCTCAACCGTGGGCCATATGGCTCCCCAGGGGCCATGCCCTACCTGTAGGGGGCCACATGGAAAAAACGGAACATTAGGTAAATTATGTACCTTTTTTTTCCTACTAACAGCGGTTATGAGGGGGCCACAGAGGTAAACGAGGCTCAGAAGGAGGCCATGAGCAAAAAAAGGTTGAGAAACACTGCCCTAGAGCAGCGTTTCTCAAATTGTGGGTCCCGACCGCCCGGCAGGTTGCAAGCAACTTAGAGGGGGATCGCAAACAAATTAGAGGGGGGTTGCGAGCAACTGAGAGGCTGGTTGCAGCAATGGAGAGGGGGGTCACGGTATCACTAGTGTGAGAACCCCTGCCCTAGAGCAACTCATCCCCAGCCAGCCCTCCTGCCCCTTTCCCTCCAGTGACACCACCCCTCCCATGCACAGGCCACGTTCATACATTTAATACAGCAATTCTGCCAACATTTTCCTACAGCATTCTCCTCCCTTCCCCAGCGCCTGCTACTACTGAAGGCCAGCAGTACCTTTCCATCCTCATGGTAGAGAAAGATATTGCGGGTCTTGTTGTCCTTGAGGTAGCTGATCTGCAGGCCATTGGGGTTCCTGATCTTCACTGGCTGGAATGTGGCATTGATTGTGTCAATTTTAATATTGATTTTGGGCTCTTTTGCCTGAGAAAGGAAATGGAATCGGTGAGATCTTGCCCTAAGGACACAGAGGGGGGAGAAACTGCTGGCTAGTGACTGAGGTGCACTGACTAGGTAAGGGGAGAGGAGTTTACAGGACACAGAGAATGGAAAGGCTTTGCTAGTACTAGCAAAGGAGTATCTCAGAGGCGGGGGTACACTGTCTGTGAAAGGGAGAAGAGTAATGTCTCCTTCGTACAAGGTATGGCCTCTCTCCCCAGGTTGGGGTGTGCTGGCCGCATGGAGAGAGAATCCCTCTGAGACTGTAGAGAATGGACAGGCTCTTCCTTTTACCAGTAAGGGGCTCTGGGTCCCAGAGTTGGGGATACCAAGGCTACATCTAGACCACTCATTCCCAACATTTTTCCAATGGAGGAACCCCAACAATAATTTTTCATATCCCAAGGAACCCCCACCTATGAAAACGTTTGCTTGGCCCGAAAAAGTTGACAGCAGGGAGTGCAATTCAATTACTGCTAAATTATTGTCAAGAAAATGTATTTGTAAAGAGCTGTTATATATATATATGTCAGCTTACATTGTAAGAAAAAAAGTTTTTATTTATTTATTCCACAATTTCTCACGGAACCCCTGATGGTGGTCTGCGGAACCCCAGGGTTCCACGGAACCCTGGTTGGGAAACATGGGTCTAGACTATAGGCTTCTTTCAGAAGAAGCTTTTTTCGGAAAAGATCTTCCGGAAAAACTTCTGCCAAAAGAGAGTGTCCATACTACAAAAGTGCATCGAAAAAGCGATCTGCTTTTTTGAAAGAGCGTCCACACTGAATGGGCACTTTCTTGCATGTAAACTGTGACTGTTATGGACAGAATGGCCACCAGGGCATCTGTGTTTTTTCTTCTTTCCTCGTCTTCTGAAATAACTCCCTCTTCCCTGTCCATACATGCCTTTTTGCGAAAGAGCTCGTTCGGAAAATGGCTTCTTCCTTGTAGAAAGAGGTTTACCAATGTCAGAAAACCCTCTCTGTTTTTTCAATTTTCTTGCGGAAGAACGCAATTGCAGTGTGGACGTTCCGCAAGTTTTGTCAGAAAAACAGCTGTGTTTCCCACAAAACTCTGTAGTGTTGACATACCCTGAGTGTAAAAGAGCAGTCCTCAGACTTTATGGGAAGGATAGAAATGTCTCCCTAATGCCAGCAAGGGGAGCTTTCCCTAACTTGGGCTGCACTGAGAGGAAGGACCTGCCCTCCAAGCAGACCATACTCACGTCCGGTTTGGCAAAGTATTTGAGACAGCCTTCTCGCTCAGACAAGAGAAACCTGCGGGGTAAGAACTGCCCGTTGTCCCGGCCCCGTTTCCATAGGATCCCTTCCTTCAGCCCTAGGAACAGAGAGGCCAGTCTGAGAAGGTTCCCTCATGGGCACAATGGGCAGTAGAGAGATACAACTAGCCAGCATTTGTATATAGAGTGTGTGTCCTGCCCCATTGTGGAGTGCCGTGAGGAGAATCTCTCCCAAGGAAAGTTCTGTCTGAGGGAATGGAGGCCTGGGCCGACCTCTCTTGTGCCTGCTATAGATGGACAAAGGAGGGAATGTGTGAGGGGAAGGAGGAGGGATGAGGATCTTAACCTCCCCATGGGCAGTGCTCCTTGGTGTGTCTCCCAGCTCCCTAGCAGGCACCTCCACCTAGCAATGGAGCAGATGTTCACCAAGCGCAGTCCCCTCAGGCCTCCCCACCTGCAGGGAGCCTGCCTTGCTGTGCCTGATGAGTGCATGATGGCTGGCTTTCTGCATGTAGCCTCAGCCTCCCAACCCAGCAAGCCCGCCACACCTAGGCACTTGGCACTGACCCAGCATGCTGCCTGCCTCGTTCTGCCTGCCCTCAGGTGCAGGAGTTTACCTTGCTGTACTGACAAGGCAACTTCAAAAATGCCAGCTGTGGTCTTTGGGAGTGGGATGGAGGAAGACTGTGATCCCTTAGCAAGAGGCCCTGGCCAGACTAGGCCTGTGAACCTCATCACTTCAGTGCCTCATCAGTGCCAGCTGGGACGCTAGTGCTGCGAGCCTCATTGTAGCAGTGCCTAGCCAAGCTGCCAGCTGCATGAGCTTCCTCAAAATAAATATCCAGTAAGTACAAGCCTGTATGTGAGCTGCGAGCTTTCTCATGACAGTGCCCTGTCAAGACCCTGCCAGGGCTGGGGCAGTTTAGATGTGAGGGATAAATCTGAGCTGTGCTCTTACCATTTGAATACGGCAGCTCTCTCCCTGGCTCAGTGAATTCCTTGCGCTCGTACTTGGCCCGTATCCACTCTCAAAATAAATATCCAGTAAGTACAAGCCTGTATGTGAGCTGCGAGCTTTCTCATGACAGTGCCCTGTCAAGACCCTGCCAGGGCTGGGGCAGTTTAGATGTGAGGGATAAATCTGAGCTGTGCTCTTACCATTTGAATACGGCAGCTCTCTCCCTGGCTCAGTGAATTCCTTGCGCTCGTACTTGGCCCGTATCCACTGCTCCCTGAGGGCTCTGTGGCGGGGTGGGGTGGGGGGCGACAAAAAGTGGGGCTTAGGGATAGACAAAGGACCCCAGAAGCAACCACCCTCTTTTAAGTAATTGCTCTTACTGGCAGTCCGCATAGGTTGGCTGGTAATAGTAAATGGGGATATGAGCCTCATAAGTGGCTTTAGCCACCGCGTTCCCATGCTGCTCCAGGAACTGCAAAATACGACAAGAGAGTTAGCACCTTCCCTTTGATACAAATGCTCCTGTGGGCTTTCCCCCCCCCCCTCCCCGCACCACATGTAGCCATCTAATGAGCTCTCAGCAGGCACCCTTTCCCATCTAGGGGCGCTGGAACAATTTCTATTGGGGGTAGGGATAGAGCCACTGAACCAAACTGTAAATCCTGGCGGATATGTTAGAAACCACTTCAAGCCAGGGGCTGCAGGAGCATCCCCCACACCTCTAGTTCCAACAGCTATGTTCCTATCCACTGACATGTCCCTGGAAGAGAGGCTACAGGCGGCTGGGTTTCTCTCAACTCTGAAAGGCCTTGTCTGTGTTAGCGCCTTAGGGCAATTGTATTTATTAGCCCAACGTAATTATCCCCAAAGAGGTTAGTGTGGTGGCACTTGGCATGCTACATGCTCTTGCTAGTACATCTCAAGCGCACACTAATGCTGCAATTTATTGTGGCAGCAGCAAAGCCTTTTGGGATCATATCCCAGAGATCCCAGCACCTTGCATGGCTGCCTCAGAGACCTGGTGAGTGGCCAGAGGAACTGTGGGTGGAGAAGTCGAGCTCCCATAGATCTCTTTGTCCTTTTGGGTCCTGCACTATTTGGAAGTTTTTCCCAGAGTGTGGAGACTTCTATGGTGAGGGGGAAGTGGTGCCGTGCTTGGACTATTGAGTCCTGCATGAGACCTAGGGCTTGATCTCCATGATGCTGGCTGGGAGGAAATGAGTAGTGTGCAGCAAAGGGGACACTGCATCTTGGCAGGGTATGTTTCAGCAGACTTCCACCCTAGTCATAAAATAATATGGCATAGGAATAATGCAGAGCCATGGTCTACAACAGAAGTGGGCAAGATATAGCCCACGGGCTGGATCCAGCCCACAGCCCACCCCACTGGGACGTTCAGGCACAGAGCAGCCCCACGCCGCTTTAAGCATCTGCTGCTCTGGGGGATGGGGAGGCCAGTTTCTGGCCAATAGAAACTGAAAGATTTTGCTGGGGGGCACAGGCAGTGAATGAAGCCTTCCCAGCCCCTCCCCCAACCTGGAGCAGAGACCCACAGGGAGCAGCTAGCTGCTATGAGCGGTCTGGGGCTGCTGGCAGGCAGGTCTGTTGGCTGGGAGCCCCACCTAGGTAAGTTTCTTCTGGCCAGAGCTTGCCCCTGGCACCCCACCCCCCCTCTCTCTCTTCTCTCCCTCCAACTCTCTGCCCCAGGCCACCACCCCCTCCTGCCCCAGGTCACCTCACAAACCCTCTGCACCTCCTCAGCCCCCTTCTTCCAGGTCACAATTCCCTCCCACAATTCCTGCACCTCCTTCTACACCTCTTCCCCAGGACAGAATCCTCTCCTGCACTCATACGCCCTCCCCAACCCTGCACCCTAGTCCCTTGCTCCATGTCATCACCCAAACCCTCTGCATCTCCCCTGCCCCCCCACAGGTCACAACTCCCTCACAGACCCTGCACCCCCTCCTACACCTCTGCCCAGGCCAGAATCCTCTCCAGCACCCATACCCCCTCTCCAACTCTGCACCCCATTCCCTTGGCCCAGATCACAACCTTTTCCTTCACCCAAACTCCCTCTCAGTCTCCACACCCCCTCCTGCATCCCAGTCCCTGATCCTGAGCTCTCTTCTGCACTCAACCTCCATCCCAGACCCTTGACCACTTACTAAAATCTTGGAGTGGTCCCCATCAAAAATTATTGCCCACTCCTGCTCTACACTCTGCCCACCAAGTGCAAGGTAAGTGCGTCATCCATCACACTGAGGGAAGATGGGTTGGAGGGAATGATCTCCACTGGGTATTAACGAGGCAACTTATGACATCACAGGGAATGTCTGACAGCACGAGGCATAAGACCTGATCATGTAGTTTCCCTTTCCCAGGACCCAAGAAATTGAGGGCTGTGCCCAAAGAATCCAGACTTGAATTGCTGTGCAGCTGGGATGCAGGTAGGGAGACTCTCACCTGCACCTGGACCTCGTCCCAATGGTCCATCCTCAGGGACTTGACTTTGCTGATGTTAGGGATATTGCGGTGGATCCCTGAGCAGTTCAGGCAGATAAAGACACCCAATGTATATGATGCCCAGTCAGGATCTAAGGGCAAATAATAAGGGGATTAGTGGCAGTGTCTCAAGGGAGCTAGATCATGACTGAGAAATGTGCTGTCAAGGCTCCCAGGGAAACAGATGCAGAGGGCTGCAAAACCACAGTTTCCTGTGAGCTATTAGTCACCTGCTGGGGAGTAGACACCAGCTAATAAAATGTACCACCATTCCATCCTTCCCACTGCTCCAAGCAGTCGGATAATGATCTTATATTCATAGTGTCCCTTTTATTTGGAAGCACCCCAAAACATTTTACAGGCTCTCTCTTTCTTTCTCTCCAAGAATCACTCATTCCATACAGAAATGCAGCCACCTCTGGGGTGGGACGTGGCAAGTATTTAATAATGCACAGCAACACACAACACTGTTCAACACAGGTCCTAAAGAACAACACTGAATCCAACTGAAATTAGTAGGAATTTAGGAAGGTAAAATCTGATTAATTACCAAAAATTGAATTTGAGGCTAACATCCTCATTTTCCTGGAAGTGCCACATGGTCTTTTAATGTTCCTCCAGGATTAGGATCTTGGATTTCTGTTCCTTTCAAAAGATGACACTTCCAGTAGTAGAACAATGTCTCCTTGGCAGGAGGTTCTGAGGAGAGGACGGCTTTCTGAACCACTCCCACCACTTTCTGCAGTGTCTGCAATTTCTTAGAAGCTTCTCTGTCAAGTCCTGACCAGACCTGACCTCAAGTCATTTCTCAGCTCTGACATGACAGAGTGGGGTGGTTGCAAAATCTCCCTATCTTCCTGCACTTCAAGCAGCAGGAAGTCCCTGTTCTTCCTCCAGCACAGTAGGATCTCTTCCCCAGGTATCATCTCCACACACACAAAACAAGTCCCTGCACCTAGTGTTCAGGTAGGCCAAAAAGACTCCCACCATACCTTCCTGCTTCCCGGAGGAGGAACTCCTTCAGACAGCCTGTACTAAACCACCACAAACTGATGCACTGCTCCCTCCACAAATGGGACAGTTTCCAACACCCACGCCTCAGCTTCACCCCACAGCTGGCTATTCTAGCTGCCCCTCCCCTGGAACTCTCTCCCCCATGCCAAGCCCCAATTTAGACCCATCTCTGCTAACTGTCCTGTCTCTCTATTGCAGCCTCTTCTGCCACCCATGTTACTGAGCCCTCAGAGACTCACCTGGCTTCTCACAGTCTGCGCACAAGGCATTTTCAGCTCTTCTCCACACCTCCCTTAGAGTTTTCGTATTCTTGTCATCAGTTCCAGCCATTGAGTCCACAAGCTGCCCTTGGGCAGGGCCAGGAAGGCAGTTATCTATGGCTTCTACCTATGACCAATCCACTGGCTCGCCCAAGGGAGAAGAGGCCAGGAGAAGACTTTTGGGGCAGGGATGGAGAAGCAGTAGGGTTAATAAAATTGGAGCGTGAATCCTATTAGGTTGACAGAGTGCAGCAGAGAGAATGCAGTCAGAGGCCGAAGTGTGTGCAGGCTGAGGAGGAGGAGAAGGCCGACTCAGTGGGCGTGAAGGGAAGTGCAGCAATAACCACAAACTGGTTTTTCCGCATTTCTGCTGGTAAAAGGACAAGCCCCAGGAAAAGAATACAAGCAGCAGGCAAGTTGCTAAAGGCAACACAGCCATAGCTCAGAGGTGACACCCAGTGTCGGGACTAATGCTACCAGGCCGCCTCATTAAAAATGTGCCATGCTGCTCCCGAGGATTTGAGTGCATGTTATAAGGATTAGTGAAGCCTCACAAGCTCCCTGCAAAGTAAATATTGTCCCCATTTCACAGATGGGCACCATGAGGCAGAGTGAGGTTAAGTGGCATGCCCGAAGTCACACAAGTCAGTAGCAAAGCTAAGAGTCCTAACACTCACTCCCCTGCTGCTATCACTGGACCACTCTGCCTGCAAAGTAAATGGATATTTCAAGGGATCCTACAGCTTGTGTTTTAAGGCCCACTGACATGGCTGAAAACAACCACAGCACCCACCCTATAACTAAGAGAACAGTCAGTGACCTGGTCCCACCAACATGGACTAAACTGCTGCTCCTTTAAAGGAAGTCTGGAGAGTTGTCACTAAGAGCACGTGACCTGATTAGAATGATCAGATGTCCCGATCTTAAAGGGACAGTCCCATATTTAAGCCCTCCTGCAAGTGTCCCTACTTTTTTTTTAAAAAATGGGCCAATTGTCCCATATTTTCTGTATCTCTCCCCCTGGCAGTACTGGTGGGTCCTGCTGTTGGCTGGATCCCTGCTCACCAGAGGTATGCGGGGGGGATGTCTAGTGCACCAATAGCTGATGATGGGAATGAGTGTGCAAGGCTGGTGGCAAAGCAAAGCTGCAGCCTTCAGGGCCAGATGCTCCCTCCTGTTGGTTCATCAGTGCAATCCCTGCTGTGTGCCCACTCTCTGCTAGCAGGCTTCCCAGCCACCCCCCTACCATTTCCAGCCAGCACGGGCTGCTCGCTGTGGTGGCTGGTGAGTATGGACTAGTCATGATTGGTTACGTCACCTTGCTGGCCACCCATTGGCCCTTTACATGCATCTCATCTCACTCTCCCTTCCCTGCTGTGCCATTCACCCCCTCATCCAGGCCACTCCTCCATAGCCCCACCAGCACTGTGCAGAGAACCAGCCCTTGGTCAGATCATTCAGCTCACCAACAGCCTGGCTAGCAGGCTCCTTCCTTTCCCCACTGCCTCTGGCTAGGCTGGCACCCAGGGAAAGCTCAAGACCCTACAGCCCAAAGCACTGGCCAGGCAGAGCCAAACCTGCTGTGCCAAAGCCCCGTACCACACTGGCATAAGGAAGCCTCTCCGCCTCTCAGCTAAGCCTGCAGTGGTGGGGAGGAAGCGATTTCCAGCCTGTTGGTGCCCCAACTCTGCAGGCTCCTCAGCAGCTGCCCCACAAGCAGGGGCAGAGCACCCTCTTCATACACTGCCCTACCCTAGTCCTGCCCCAGGGCGTGTGGGGCTGTTCTGTCCCCTAGGCATCTCCCCTGCTCAGCCACCTCTCTGACCAAGTTCACTGAGGCCCCTATAGACAGATTCTCTGAGCCCGGGAGCATCCTTAGGGGGGCTTAACTCCTTCCTGCCCGCGCTTTAGCCAGAGAACAGGAGGCAGGCTGGGTTGAGAGGGATGGCAGGAGACAAATCGCTTGATCATTGTCTTCGGTCCACCCTCTCTGGGGCACCTGGTGCTGGCCACTGTCGGTAGACAGGATACTGGGCTAGATGGACCTAGGCAGGAAGGGACAAACTGCTTCCAGCCACAGGGGAGCGGGACAGGGGTGGGGTGGGAGGGAAGAAATGACCTCTTAAGTATACAGATCATCTCTATGCCCCACCCCTGCAGCTGGAAGCAGCTCCCATCTCTTCCATCTGGCAGTGCTGAAAGGCTGCTGCTGACCCATGCTCTGACGTGAGCCCTGATAGAAATCTGGAGGGGGGGAAGCTGTAACCGTGCTACCCCCCACATGTTGCCTCAAGAAGATGTGGTCCCAGGAAAGGCGTGCCCTGGGAGCCCAGTCAGGTGTGGAGGATGGAGAGCACTGGGCAGGGAAGGTTGGGTCAGGTCAGTCAGTTACCCCTATACCCATGTTGGAGAGATGTATAGTAGCATGTGTCACTTCTCCCTGTGCAAACCATAAAGATAAGGAAGTAAATGAAAAGACTCCAGATGCACAGGATTTCTTCTTAACATGTGTTCAGTCAACTTGATGTTAATTTGAACATTTGTACTGTATACTTCTGATTGATTGCCATTGAATTCACTTGAAGAAGAGTAATTTTACCAGGTGTCCCATATTCAGCATAGGAAAGTATGCAGGGCTCGACAAATAGTGTAATCTACTCGCCCATGGTGAGTAGATTACACCCCAGAAGAGCCAGTGAAGAACAACCTGCGCATGCGCAGAGCACAAAACCGTGCAGCTGGCAAGCGGGGCTCACCGCCACTCGGCGAGCCCTGGAAATATGGTTACTCTGAGTTACTACAGAGAATTCTTTCCCAGGTGTTTGGCTGGTGGGTTTTGGCAAAAAACTGATGGTCCAGCTGACCCCATGTTTGGGGTTGGGAAGGCTTTTTAATGGGTCAGATCTGCAGAGATTTGGGGGGTTGCGTGGGCAAGATTGCCTTCCTCTGCAGAATGGGGCCTGGGTCACTTGCTGGTTTCAATTAGTGGATTCTTCCTAACTTGACACTTTTAAATCATGATTTAAGAACTTGAGTAACTCACTCAGGGACGGTGGGTCTATTGCAGGAGTGAGTGGATGAGGTTCTGTGGCCTGCAGCTTGCAGGAAGTCAGACCAGATAACCAAGATGGTCCTTTCTGCCCCTTACAGCTGTTCTCTGCCTAAGAGCTCACCTCTTGCCCACCCCTGCCTTAGAGCAGCTCAAAGAGTAACATGCAATGATCCAGCAAGGAGTTAAAGGCCCTAAGGTTCAGCCAGCTGTATTGTTTGGCTGCCTATGGGTATAGAAACAACGATCCTGTGGCACCTTAGATACTAATAAAAATATAAATAGTATTTAAAACCCACTTCTTCAGATGAGCTGAAAAAAAGTACCAGTCCCTCTGGCTGTACCCTTGACAGGTACTCCCCCCGCCCCCTTCTTTTTCTGTTATAAATTCTGTGTTCCCATTTTTTCCCACTCCAGCTCATCTGAAGACGTGGGGATGGCCTCAGACACGGGTGGGTGGGAGAAAGGGGAGCTGTGCCCCACAGACTGGAGACACAGGGTAGGAGGGAGGGCATGAAACTCTCGGGAGCTCATCCCAGTCAAAAGCTGAGCCTGGCGGAGACCGGGTGTAAGCGGGGCACACACGCGCCACGCTGGGTCGCTCGCACTCGCTGAGGCCGAATCTTTCCGGGGCGGGGCGTGGGGAAGGGACATTCCCCCTCCCTGCAGCTCAGACAGCCGCGCTGCTCGGCCGGCCCCGTGAGGCGGGGCGGCCACGTGGGAGCTGCGGAAGGAGGCGGGCGCTCGGAGCGTGTGTCCCCGCTGTGCGGGGAGGAGCCGCGCTGCTGCGCCGGGGCCGGTACCGGCATGGGCCGCAAGAAGAAGGGAGGCGGCGGCGCGGGGCTGCGGCGGGCGGTCATCTTCGATGAGGCCAGTCGGCGGTGAGTGAGCGGCGGTTCGAGCTGGGCTGGTGCCGGGGGTCCTGAGACGCCGCCTGCTGCCCCCTCGTCAGAGTCGCCTCCCCACTTGGGTGCGCCGGGGGAAAGGCAGCTGGAGCCCCCCCCGTCTCCCGGAGGCGCCCCGCATTCCCCAGGACTTAGTGTGGGAGGGAGAAGAACAGCTGGGCTGCTCGTTCTGCAGAGATGCCTCCCCACGTGGGAAGCAGCCACATGCCCCGGCCTATAGGGGCCTGTCTCCTCTCACTGCCCCTTTCTTCACGTTTGTGAGGAAGGCCTCTTGAGCGGCTGGGAAGCAAGATGGGCTGTGGCCCTCAGCTTTGGGAATGCCTTATGCTGGTCCTTCTCCTCCTCGCTGCTCTGTGGAGAGCTGCAGGCCTTGCCGGACGGCTGGTTTCCTTCCTCCACGCCCCGCTTCTCTCTCGGGGTGTGAGGAGCTTCTGCAAGGATCAGGGCTTCTCTTCAGGATGGCTGTAACCTGCCCCGTGTCCTCTGCAGGGAGTACCTGACCGGGTTCCACAAGCGGAAAGTGGAGAGGCGAAAAGTGGCCCTGGAGGAGATCAAACGAAAATTGAAAGAGGAGCAAAGGAAGCTGAAAGAGGAGGTACTTCCCCCAGGTGATCTGTGTGGTTAGTTGGTTAGAGGAGTTTAGTTCATGGCAGTATGCTTTGGCAAGGAGTTACATAGTAGTTGTGTAGGTCTAAGTCTGGAATAGCTGAGGTGTCTTAAGTAGGAATAACTTAAAAAACAACAAATAGTCTGGTAGCACTTTATAGACTAACAAAATCTGTAGATGGTGGTATGAGCTTTCATGGGTATAGCCCACTTTGTCAGATGACCAGAGTCCCCCTCCCCTTCTTCCCTCATTTATTTTGGTTCTGGACATCCAACACTCTGGTTATCGGAAGAAGTGGGCTGTGCCCACGAAAGCTCATGATACCATCTACATATTTTGTTAGTCTTTAAAGTGCTATCAGACTATTTCTTAGTTTGTAACAGGAAAAACTTAAACAACTTGGCTACCCCTCTGAAGCGTCCACTGGCTCCATCGACAGCTTTGAGGTGCAGTGGACGCTGTTCGGGGTTCCCTTGTTCTAAACCTTTGACTTGCACTCCTTGACCCTGTTTTTTATTAGCTGTCCCAAGTAATCAGTTGAGCCCCAGGTCCAGTCGTCCCTCCCACAAGGCTGGGAGAGGGGCTTTTAGAAGTAGGCGGGCTGATGCCCACCCACCCCTGGGATTTTAAATAGAGCCCCACTACAACATGTAAGTTACAACAGAGATCAAATTTGCTTGTATTGCAAGATAGAGGGACTAAAAGAATCACCTATTCCAGGGCATTCTTTTTATTAAACCAAGCAAAGTATAACAAAAAAGTAGGAATATCAGCAGCTAGTCAGATAACCAATTGCTTATTGGTTAAATGGTTATCTGTTCATAGTCCCAGTTAATTGCAGCAACCCCCTTCTCTCCCACATGCTGTGCATTTAAAACTTGGATTGGACTGTTCCAGTCCTTCTATCCGAGTTGTAAATGAAGAGAGCATGGGGAGCCGTCTGCCACCCCATGCTGTTGCCTCTGATACACAGGGCAGCCTGTGTTTTTAGCGGCAAGCCTGGGTTCGCGGTGGACAGAGGCTGCTCTGTGGCCTCCTATGGACAGAGGCTGCTGCCATCTTGCACTATATCTGAGGCAGCAGCATGGAGCAGCAGGTAGGAGCCGCTCTGTCCGGGGAACTGGTTTTTAAATACAGAGGCAGCACTGAATGGTGGCAGGGGGCCCCTGGGAGTGGGGCCAGGATTTCTAACCTCCCTAGTTTCAGGGCAAAGAGAAAGTGCATTGGCAGACTGGGTTCTGGGAGGGGGACAAGACAGGAGTAGAATAGCTGGAGGTTCTGCAAAGAAATAATTAATTTGGATATAGCAGCATTGCTGCATGGGACTTCCAGGACTGAAATAATGGGATGTGTTGTCACAGCAGTGTATGGAGGAAAATTACACTGCCTGTCATCACGCTGGCCCTAGCAGTGTTGTATGTGCAGGACAACTTGAGACTTTAAGTATTTTGGATCCCAGTTGTGCAGGAATGGTGGGAGGTAGGCATGTGCCTTGGGCATATTCCCTGAGTGACAGCTGGTAAGACTGGAAGTACTGCAGTGATTCTATGCCTTTACATTTTAGCGGCACAAGGAGTACCTGAAAATGCTGACAGAGAGAGAAGAGGCCTTAGGTGAGTGGTGTCTCCTGTGGTGGAGCTTTACTTCATGATAACCAGAAATTCAGTTGTGGAAAATGTCCAAAGGTCATAAAAACACCCAGAAATGCTTGGGTGCGGCGGCTGGGAGAGGGGTTTTTAACAGAGGGCTAACCCGATACCTTAAGGTTTTATCTCTTGCTGTCAAAAGGCACTTGTCCAGTGTCGCTCACTAGGATGGTGTGAACTAGATTTGAAACAGACACAACTCACTGAGCACATTGGTGATGGCTTCTTATTGCCCCTGTGTCTGACTGAGGAGCAGTGTTGATGGGCTATAGAAAGGAATCCCTGCCTTTGCAGCCAGAGACTGTATGTGGTGGGGGTGGGGAGGGTATAGAAAGCAGCAATTGGGAGGTGATCTGTAAGGCTTTGTCAAGACGTGAGATCCGGTGTATGGGGAGAGGATGTTCTTACTGACACCGTTCTCTGGTTTCAGAGCTTTGGCTGCTCAGCTCCTCACAGTGGGTGTAGCAATTGGGGCACCTCCCTGCATAGAGCAGGACCTGGTCAGGGTGAGTTTGGCCGGAGAAGCCCATTCACATTGTGTTTTTGTTGACTGCAGAAGAGGCTGATGAGTTGGAACATTTGGTGACATCCCAAACCGAGTCTGTGAGCATTGATCATCCAAACCACACTGTGACAGTGACTACCATCAGTGACCTGGACCTCTCAGGAGCACGCCAGCTAGGACTTAGCTCCCCTGGGGTATGACTCTCTGCTGTGTCTGTCCTCATCATCTCAGCCTTACAAATCTCCAAAGCTGGGTAGATGGGGCCATTGTTACTTAAATATGACAGTAGCTTGAGCCTGCTGGGGACCCAGTAGAAGCAGGGATGGGGAAGGAGACAGGCAGCTTTTATGCTTTTCCTCAATTGGTGTTACTGGTTCATGATCATAGGGTAAACCTTCCCTAAGGGCTGCTTCCCGCACAAAATTGTTCTGATATTCCATAGACGCTTAAATGTTGGTGAAATCTGGTGGATTGATAGCTCTGGTGGCTGCTGTATCCTAAGCAGGTGTGACATGATGAGCAAGTGTAGACTTCCCTAAGTGGCTGTCCACTTGGCCTGAGTCCCTTCTTGAAAGGATCACCTCTATGCTGTGAGGTAATTTGTGATGAGCAAGTGTAGACTTCCCTATGTGGCTGTCCACTTGACCTGAGTCCCTTCTTGAAGGGATCACCTCTATGCTGTGAGGTAATTTGTCTCCATGACCCATTTAGTCTTTGGCTTCTCAGACTGCAAATGAGAAATCCAGTTAGTTCCTACTGTGCTGGCTTTTTGGTGAATGAAACCCCAGGACTGAACTGAGATCTCCAGCTCATTTCCCAAGGGCCTCCAGGCAGTAATTGACTGGCAACACCTTGGGATCCCTATTAGAGATGTAAATGGTTAACTGGTGTGCCTCACCCTTAACAGCTAAGACTTACTGGTTCCAGTTAACTGGTAGGGGCTGGAGCTGCTCCCTGCCTGCCTTGGGCAGGGGCTGCCCCAGCCCCATGGGTCCCACTGCAGGCAGGGGCTGCTCTGTCTGGCAAGCCAGCTGAAGCAGCCCCTGTCCATGGTGAGCACGGCCCAGCCCCTGCTACAGGTTATACGCTGGCTGCCTGGGAGTGGGGCTGGCAGGGGCTGCTGGCCCTGCTCCCAGAGAGCTGGCTTGGCTGTAGCAGCAAAACCTCCCTGGGAGCGGGGCTGGCAGCCCCTGCCATTCCTGCATCCAGAGAGTCTTTTCTGCATCCTGCAGAGCGCTCAACGAGGCCTCCCCTGGAGAGGCTTCACTGCAGGGTGCAGGGAACCACTAGGATTTTTAGCGGATACACAGTTCCATTTTAAACAACTTTTTACATCCCTCACCCCTATGACCCTTGGCCGGATGTGAGCCAGTGACACACACACAAGCTTCCCTGTGTGGAAGAGGGAATCCTGCAGATCCCTAAGGACATCTGCCTATTCAGTAATCCATCCTGGTATCTTTCAACAATGAAACCCTCTAATTCCTAATGAAACTCAATTCTGTGCCCTTACAACCTTATTTACAGGTTGGGTCTTGGAATGGATCAAAATAGTGGGTCTCCTCGGGTTGGTCCCTAGTGGTCTGTGGAGCCCTTTCATATGGTTTACTGGGACATTGAGAACCAAGCTGTGGGGGATGTGGAGAGTTTGGTCTAGGTGAGGATCTTTCTTTCACAATGTGGTCGTCGGATTGAGAGAGCTGTGGAACCACCTAACGCTGCTCAGACTCCTGTGTTGTGTTTTGTTAGGAAGGGGGCACTGAAGCAGAAGTAGAGAAGGAGCCACCGAGCAGATTCACAAGTGCATTGCCCAAGAAGTCTGGAGATCCCTTCCTGTCTGAGAGGTGGGTATAAAACTACTCGCCTCCCTCTTCCCGCCCCGAACAGTCCTGTAGCTTCCTGTCACCCTGTAACTTGAGTATCTGCAGTTTGTGCGTGGGGATCCAACATAGGATTTTGATCTCTCTCCTGGGCTTGCTGTTTTGTTAAGATCATGCCATGGTCTCAGCTACCAGCAGAGGGCACCTGCAAGTTCTTTGGCACAGAGGTTATCTTGTTCTGTTGACACAGCACGTAGCATAGCAGGGTGGTGGCTAAAGATATAGAAGAGTAGTCAAGTCGACTACTCACGTTTTCCCTCCTCCCCCTTGCTGCCTCTATATCAGAGGTAGCAAGAGAGGGGAGCAGGAACCTGTGCTGCGGAAGCTGCGTTAAAAGCCAGTTATCTCCAGCACTGTCTCTGTGGTGCAACTTGCCCCCCACAGCAGTGTGGGGGGACAGGGGAGGCTGCTCCAGCAGCAGCCACTGTTCACAAGGGTTCCAGCTGCCTGCTAGGACCCCCTGTGGAAAGAGGCTGCTGGACCTGGCGTGAGCTGGGACTGAGCAAAACCAGCTGCCTGTGCGCCTGCCTCTTACTACATTTAAACTGTAGAGCCGTAGCGGGGGTAGCACCTTCCCTTTTCAACTAATCATCTAGCCGGTACACAACTTCCCAATCACCCGCCTTTTAACATCCTTAGTCCTGTCCATGACAAGGGCTCCCAGGTGCTGCTGCAATATGAATAGTCTGGTGCCCTGCATCACCACTAGCATGCAAACTGCCTTTGTGGCAGAGGCAGACCTCCATCCTCTCTAGGTCTCAGGGCTTGTCTACACTTACAGCGCTACAGAGGTACACTTACTTATGCTGAGGGAAGAGCTTTTCCCATCGCTGTAGTGAATCCACTCCCTGTGAGGCGGTAGCTATGTCAGTGGGAGAAGCTCTCCTGTCAGCATCGTGTTGTTTATGCTGGCAACTGGGTCAGTGTAACTGAGTGACATATTATACTGACATCAGTCTGTAGTGTAGATCAAGCCTCAGACTTTCTCTTTCCTGTACAGGATCTCTTCACTCACTGCCTCCCTGCATGCACGCAGCCGGAAGAAGCCCAAGAGAAAGCAGCTGAGGCGTGGCCAAAACCCACATAAGAAAACCCAGAAACTCAGTGCTGGGCGAACCAGCAAGTCCCAGCGCCGAAAACTGACCGGCAAAGGAAGGTGCAATCAAGACTAATAGATAAACTGAAGTGGATATTGCCTGCAAGGCTAGCCTGTGCCTTTGGCAACAGTGTCTGCCCAATGTGAATGCCCGGTTTCTCATGGATGGGTCCTTGTTTGTACCGCTAAAGTCCCTCTGACTCTCCTCCTGGCTAGGGACAGCGAATGCTGGGCTCATTATTTTTCACTGTAATTGTATGCAGTGGAAAGTCTGTTACAGTCTCCACTGGGGGACTGCGAATCGAGCCCTGACCCTGCCTTTTCTACATTGGCCCCTTTGTTTCCTGGAACTTTCTCTTCCCATGGGATCAGAGGAAAGCTAGTGTCTCCCCTTACACAAATGGAAGAGCTGGGTGTGGGGTGAATGATGTTCAGATGGTTTACAAGAGGAGGCAGGACTCCCCTTTCTCTCATGCTCTGTTGCATTGGCTTTACCCTCTGTCTGGGGCATCCCTCCTGACTTAAGAAAACTGGCACTACTTTGGGTGCCTAGAGCTCTTTGTACAAAGCCACATGCTTTTATATAGCTAACCAAGGTGAGATCTGCTAACCTCCCTGCTGTGAATCTTGATAAATATCACTTTGTAAGGGAGAAAATACACATGCCTTATTGCAGATGCGATAGATAGTAGCTAAACCTTGTTCCAGTTGGGAGAGAAGGGGCTGATCCTGTTTGAGGGCTTTGAATTCTCCAGCCCATACCCCTCAGGGAGGAGGGATGCATATGAAGATGTTTCAGTGGTACTACTGAGAGAGGCAGGACTGAGAGACTCCATTGGTGGCTAAAGGCAGATATCTTACATCTGGACATGTGACAGTTTTGAGGAGTAAGAAGTCCCCTAATCCACTGGCCCAGCTGTGCTGTTATGCCAGTGGTGATGGCAGAGATTCCCCCAGGCCCTTGCAATAATTTATTTCTACCCTCTTGTATGAGATGTCAATACTTGTGTGAGCATGAATGTTTCTGACAGAAGGGAGCGGTTTGTTCCCCTTTGGCTTGACTAGATTTCCTGTCTATATCAACAATGCCACCTAGTGGAGACTCTAGTTATAGCTGCAGACATATAGCTGTTGATGAGTGTTGTCCTGTTGTCTGTTAAACAATCTCTTAACCTTTCCAGATTACTGTATCCCTTTGAGGAGTCTGACTTGTTTTGTGTACTCTCCGAGTTTCACCTCACTTTAAAAACTACTTGCTTAGAAAATCAGACATAAAAATACAAAAGTGCCACAGCCAAACTATTACTGGAAAATGGCTGACTTTATTTTTTACCATACAATTCTAAAATAAATCAGTTGGAATATAAATATTGTACAAACATTTCAGCATACAACATATAGAGCAGTATACACAAGTTATTGTCTGAAATTTTAGTTTGTACTGACTTTGCTAGTATTTTTTTTGTAGCTTGTTGTAAACCTAGGCAAATATCTAGATGAGTTGCTGTATTCCCTAGATTAAGATCTCTTGTATCGCCTGGGTATATGTACCCATGGGTGAAAACCACTGGTCTAGATGACCTAAACTGTACAACTAAAGGACTCTCTTGCAAATATAAGATGTGTCCACACGGGGAGTTTTGGTGGCATTGCCGTATTGGTCAGGGATGTGCTATTTTTTTTCACACCCCTAAACTACATAGCTACACTGGCAAACTTTATAGCATAGGCCTGGTCTGTGTCTATAGGAATTGGTAACCCCTGATCCTGGAATTTGGAGAGAATCCTCTAAAAGAAGATTAAAAGGGGAGGGAGCTGCCCAGGAAGATCATTTTGACCTGGCAAAATGTTCTCTCTGCCCCGTCAGCTCTGTACCTTGTGTTCTCCCTTCCTGCAAAAGAGCAGGGCCATGGCTCTAGCTCTGCAAGCCCTTGGGACAATGCAATAACTATTGAGTTCTTGGTGGTGATTTTAATATACCAATTCATCTCTTTCCCCTTTCCATTCCTCCCCCCCCAAAAAAAAAACCCCCACAAACTGCTGCCCAAATGAAAGAGAAAATGGCTAAGAAGTAGGGGGAGGGAGGGAGTGCAGCAGTGTCACCATTTGGCTCCTTAGCTGCCATGCAGCTTGCATTAGAAGGAGCAGATCTATGGCAGATCTATGAAACCTCAGTAGGAGTTGCTGAGCTGGAAGGGTTTTGATCTGCATAAAAAAGCCTGGGTGGGAGGAGGACTTCACTCCCAGCACTTGAGTTTGTTGTTTTTCTCTTCGCAACAGAATTGTAGCCCTGCTGAGACAAAAGGAAGTGTTAAATACAGGGGGGAAACTCTGTGTGCTATGTGGAACGCACAGGAGTGGGAGAGGGCAGCTGGCTTTATGGTTAAAGGACAGATCTAGGAATCCTGTGGTAGGAGCTTAATTCTAGCTCTGTCACGGATTCCCTGGAAGACTGGCAAGTCACTTAAGCTCTGTCTCCTTTCTCCACCCGGAGAAGAGGGGTGATGATGCCCCTTTCTCTCACCCATTGTGTGGCTTGTCTATTCAGATTGTAAACGCTTTTCAGTGGGGGATCGTTTGCGCTGTGTTTGTATGGTGTCTGCTACCCTCATCTCAGTAGGGACTTCTAGTTGTCATTTTAGTACAAATGAGAGAGCGCTGCCAGTCCCAGAAGCAGTCCCTGTTCCTGGGGAGCCAGCTTCCCTGCAGGCGCTGCAGTATAAAGCATATATAAAGCTTTATACTGCAGCACGTGTAACCACTAGGATTTTTAGTGGTTACACAGTTAACATTTAAAATGGCTTTTTACGTCCCTAGTTTCTGATGCGGGGTCCCGTAAGGCTCAGTTCTTGGCTCTACGCTGTGTAACATTTTTATCAGTAACCTGGAAGCAAACATACAATTGTCACTAAAGTTTGTAGATGATGCAAAAATTGGAGGAGGGTTAATTAATGAAGAGGACAGGTGCCCAAGACCCATGAATCTGGATCATGCAGTAAACTGGGCCCAAGCAATATGTGTGTTAATGTTGCTAAATGTATGCATCTTGAAACAAGTGTAGGCATACCTACAGGATGAAGGGCCAGGCTCTCCTTAGGCATATGCGTGTGGTTGAGTGGGGAACCTGAAAATTTGGGGCACCATAGGGACAGCATAAGAACAGGTCAGCTCCTGCACACTCGGTGCCCCCTCCAGTCTCAGGCAGGAGTTGTATTCATAGACCCGAATGCACCAGCACTGCACATTCTGTGTGAGAGAGAGAGACAGAAGTCTCTGTAGGGACTGTGACTCTCTGCTGCTGCCTCAGCCCTCCACTCCAAGAGCTGCAAGCACTGGCTGCCATAGCATCTGCTGTGTATGAAGCTCAGTGTGTATTAGCAATGGGGAGGGGGTTGTATTTTGGAGGCACCAGTTTTCTAATACTGAATATGGCCTCAAGGATGGCCTTGCTTGGGAAGCAGTGACTCTGAAAAAGATAATCAGCTGAACAGGAGCTCCCTATGGGATATTGTTGCAAAAAGGGTTAATGCGATCCCTGGATGCATGACCAGGAGAATCTTGAGCTGTAGCGATGTTGTTTTACCACACCACTAGTGTGACTGCTGCTGGAATACTGTTAATGAGTTCTGGTGTCTGCTGTAGAAGGACACATACAAATTGAAGATGGGTCAAAGAGGAGCCATGAGGATGATTACAGGGTTAGAAAACCTACCTCGATTATAGACTCAAGTAGCTAAAGCTACTTTGCTTAAGAATAAAGTTAAGGGGTGACTTGATTACAGTCCTCGATTATAGCTAAAGCTACTTTGCTTAAGAAGAATAAAGTTAAGGGGGGACTTGATTACAGTCTATACGTACTATGGGACAAGAAATATTTAATAACAGGCCGTTTAGCCTACTGGCAGAATTTATAGTGGTTGGAAGTTGAAGCCAGACAAAACATGTAAATTATTACCAAGGAGGTATGGATTCAGTGACTATTTTAAAATCAAGATTGGATTTTGTTCTATGAGATCTGCTCTAGGAATTATTTTGGGGAAATTCGATACCCTTATGTTATACAGGAGGTCAGACTAGGTCAGTGGTCTCCAACCTTCTTACACACAAGATCAATTTTTGAATTTAAGTGCAATCCCAGATCTACCTCAAACCCAAATAGCCTTGCCCTGTCTCCTTTGTGCTCTTTTCCCCACCTCTCTCTGAGGCCCCACTCCTACTCACGCCATCCTTCTCCCTCCCAACACTCACTTTCACCAGGCTGGGGTAGTGAGTTGGGGTGCAGGTTCTAGTCTTGGATTAAGGGATTTGGAGTGTGAGAAGGGCTCTGAGCTGAGGTTGGGGCAGGCAGCTGGGGTGTTGGAGGGGGTTCTAGGTGCAGGCTCTGGGAGGGTGTTTGGATGCAGGGGGCTCAGGCCGAGGGTAGGGGCATTGGGTGACTTGGGTAGGGCTTCAGGATACGGACTCCAGCTGGGCACTGCTCAGCTCAGGGGCTCCTGAGTGCAGTAGGGCTCGCCCTGGCCCTGGCCCTTCACCACTCCCAAAAGCAGCTAACAGACTTGCTTGAACCTTAGTCCTGTTGTGTCCTTTCTCTGCTATGTGGAGATGGGATACAAGGTGGGAAAAGGGGGCACCTTGACGTCAGCACCCATCCTCTCCTTTCCCTGCCCTGTACAGCAAACAGGAGGCTCCTGGGGGAACAGCTCCAAAGCAAAGGGTCAGAGATGTGCAGCAGTGGGAGGAGGAGCAGCTGAAGTGCCGGCACTTGATAGCTACGTGGCCAGACCAGTCAGGATCACCTGCCAGAGGCTCCAAGATCTACCAGTAGATCCCGATCGACTGGTTGGTAACCACTTGACTAGGTGATCATGATAGTCCTTTCTGGCCTTGGAATCTATGTAGATGGGAGTGTTAGCCACTCAGGTTTTAAACTTTCATTTTTAATACAACTATATTTGTAGGCCCTAAAGTTGAGAAGAAAATCTTAAAAGCACAAATGAAGTGCAAACTTGGCTCAATGTTGTCTTCCTGAGTCTGCAGCCAGCCTGAACCTGCAGCTTTGAGTGCTCTGAATTGCCCCACTTGTCTCAGTAGGTAGGATGTTAACACTGAACCTGACAATGACCATTTAAATGTCAGAGTAAACTATTTCAGTGCCAATTGTTTTAGTAGTAAAACCAAGCTCCTGTGCTTATTCCTTACCTCTAAAATACCTTTGACACCTTCCTATATTTTGATAAAAACCCTAGCTCCCACAATTTCTGTGCTATTGTTTTGTCCACACAACAATATATGGCGTGTGGTAACAATGAAAATATGGACATTCCAAGTATTCTATAGAATTGCTATTAAAATTGCTAGCATAGGTTTACTATAACTTATTTTCTTTCATATTTAATTCATTATCAAATAAGGGGTGGGGATTAATGTAAACTATCACTGCATGATCCCCAGTGGGTTGAATCCCTAGTCTGTTGAATCAGTCTTGCAAAATCCAGGGACCTTGCTGCAGGATTTGGAACTGGACTGCCTCAGAATAAATAGGTCAGGTCAGGGACTTTGCTGCAGGATTTGAAACTGGACTGCCTCAGAATAAATAGGTCAGGTCTTGGGCGTGAGTGGTTAAGGACCTCCAAGTGCCAAGTACTGGCCATGCAGTAGGATAGACATTTATCTGTAACTAAAATTTTCCAGAGGTTAGTCACAGCCTTCCCACAGGGTAGGAGTATTGGTTTTCTTTCAGTCATTTATAATTGCATTTCAGCTGGAAAAAATGTCTTCAAGATCTACCACCACCGCTAGAAATTAACAGACCAGTTTGGCACCTTATCTAAAGAGGAAATAGTGTGAACATCCTCCCTCTTATTTATAAACATGCAAAATTAGGTTCATGTGGGTACATGCATCCATAGTTACACATGCATATGCATGCACATAACTTTACCTGCTGAGTGCAAACACACAGCTCGGTTATGCACCCTTCAGCACACAGGGTTATACATGTGGGTTCACACATACAATGGATTTTTTGCACCTCTTCATGCTTGGGTTTATTTACAGCTATGCTTATGCACGGGTTTGCAGATGTGCCAGCAAGATTTTCACACTTGCATGAATAAGCTGCTGTTGAGCAGGAACTCTGTTGAGGGAATATGCAGCAACTTGCATCGCGTCTGCTCCAAAGTGACTTTTCCTCAGGCACATTTTTGTTTTATATCCTGTGCTGTGCTTGGATTGAATCCGGCCTGAGGGCAGGAAATGGGGAGGGGGGGGGCGGAATCTGAACCAATGAAACCAAGGAGAAAATGACCCCGTCAATTTGGAGAAAGGAAACACGATCAACTGAAAAGGGAGACAGTTTTAAATAAGGAAAACGGACCTCTACATCCCTTTGTTGCCTTCCCATCAAAGCCTTCCTTCCCCGATAGTTAGCCTCGCTGGCAAGAAGAGTAATATTGCAAAGGGAAGGAGGAAGCAAGAATCACACGGTGCCCAGTGTCGCCACAACGTGGGTGACAAAATAGGCACAGAAGAGAGGAGTAAAACGCTTCCCACTTGGAATGTTACAACAGCGAAGCGGAGGTGCTCGCCTTCCCAAATCATCTGCTCCCCGCCCTTTTGCAGGGAGCCACTCAGGGAGCAGTATCCAGATGAGCTACCTCCCGGCAGCCAATCAGCAAGAGACTTGGGGGGCGTGGTTTCCCCCCCCCTCACTGCCCAGGGAAAGGAAGAAAAGGGCAGCGGCAGATGAGCTGGAGCCGGGCCCGAACTGGTGCAAGGTAATAAAGGTGCCCAGGGGGTGTAGACAGGGGAAGGCTGGTTGTAATATATCCCAGAGCTGTAGGGTGGTGATGTTATTCTGAAGTGGTTTCTATGTTCTGTGTATGATTCATCACAGCCCTTATGTTGTGCCTTATAGTGCCATAGCCCAAGTGTTTCACAAAGGGTGGGGGACTCATCCCCAGTTTACAGATGTGCAGCCTCAGGTCCAGAGAGATGAAGTAATTTTCCCCAGACATCAAAAACCCAGGGCACAATGTTTTATTCCATAGCCTGGAATTGGGAGTGAAAGCAAGTGGTTTTCTCTTGCTGCCCGCCCAGCCCAAGGTCTGGGCATGTCAATTCTAAGCACATGGCCCCTTGATTAAACAACTTGAAAAAAACCCATGTAGCACTAGTTTGGAGAGTGAACCTGTGGGGAGTGGATAGCGGGTGTGATTTACCTGGCACCCACAGTGAATTAGTGCCACCCTAAGAAAACCATGTCTCTTTAGTTTGGGTGCTTTGGAGAAAAACTAAACCTATGCTTGGTCAGCAGCACTGATGTAAGCCCTGATGAGAGGAGAAGCTGCATGATAACACCAGGGTTGTTGTTCACCTGGCTGTCTTTGACAGGTAATTTTGGCAGAGTAGCACCTGAGTAAGCTGCTCCATAGGAAGAATACTCCAGGATGGGAGGGTACAAGGCTGCTTATGCGTCCCAGTCCATGCTGAGATAGGTGGTCTGTGGAAATAAAGTGTGGCTCCTACACCCAGATTTAGAATTGCACTTTTGGTGTATTGTAGCTATTAAATAACCCACAGATCTGAAATACTATCACTTGATAGAATAGCTCAGGAAAAGTCTAAGCTCTATAGCTTGTAAAGCACTTGCAGATATTCCTTACAAGCACACGATCACTAAGAAGATCCCCTCTTTTGCCTTTTGCAGGAGCTCCAGATCAGGACATCTTCTGGAAGGTATTAATATATTCCATCCCTTTCAAAGAAGACTCAAATCAGGCCATTCTGCCAGCAATCACTGAGATGGTGATGTAGTTTCCCCTCCTAAATATGCTCCAGATAAGAACATTCCTGGCCTGCCGAGGCTAGCTGTTGATGGCGTTTCTCTTAAGGAACCCTAGATCAAACCAGTCCCCGCTGGGAGCAGTGAACACCAGGCTGTTAATAAAGTTCCCCTTTCTAAATGAGCTGCAGACCTGAACACCAGGTGGAAGTGGCTTGGTCTTGATCCTTTATTGCTTCTTTTCTTTGCAGACACTTCCCTAAGGCAGCATTCTTGAGGAAACGTCTTCCTCCAGGCATGGGCTATGTCAGATTTTGAGGTGAACACCCCCTGTGAGAACTTTGAAGCCAATGTGTTTGCCAAGAGCCGATGCCAGAATTGTTTTTGGGCAGCTGATGCTCACCAGTCCAGCAACCAGGTGAGCTTTTCGTGTGAGCTGGAGGGCTATGACTATTTCATGAGCAGCTCTATTGTTTTGGGCTGTGACTGCCCAGCGGAGAGGATGAAAATTCTCAACACAGTTGCCCAATGAGGCTTTTTAGATTTCACTAGAGAAAGGGAGAGGGATTTCCTCAGTGCCCAGAATCGGTCATTTAATTCCACCCTTGTGCTCTGATGAATCTGAGCCTTGATCAAAGAGTGAACTAGTGCTGTGCTAATGGAGAGGTGCATTGGCAGTGCTGCATGGGGAGTCTCAGGGCTGGAATAGCAGGGAGGTCAGGACTGAGAGGCATTGGTGAATAGTTTGTATCAGTGTTTCCTGTAAGCTGAGCTCTTGGGTGACTACCCAGGAGAGATTCAAATGCCGCCCATCTGATTAGAAGAGCACCCACAGCCGGGACTATGCGTTTCTATTGGTGGTGCACATTTGCTTATGTGTTGGTGCACACAATAAAATTTATTCTGCACCTGAGTGGAAAAAAATTAGAGGGAATATTGGTGTGGATGGGGGAAAAGTGGGACTGGAACAGCAGGATGTGATGCAGATCAGGGTGGAGTTGTAGGCTTAATGCTAAGTATGTGTAATAGTGGGAGTTTGGGAGAAAAGGGATGTGCTGCTGTGTGTTTAAAATCTTTTCGAGGGAAGCCATTGGTGCAGTATGGGGAAAGGATGCAGAACCTTTCATCTCCTCACTGCCTGAGTTAGCAGGGACTGAAGGTCTGATGGCCTCTGGTGCCCACATCGGAACTGGGCCAGATTGGTTCCTTGCTGACCATCTCGGCAGAGAAGCCAAGCTCTGAACAGACTAGCGAACCAAAACCCCACAGGTAAGGCACATTGGTGAGGACTAGTGCCAGTGAGGCTCACACCGCAGCTGCCCCTGTTAAGTGTGTCTGGGGCACATAAGCCTTTAGTGCCCTGCAGTGTCGATCAGACATGTTTCCTCAATGCCAAACTGACTTTAGAAACTCATTGTAAGCCAGGGTTGCCACCTGTCAGCTCCTTGCCCTGCTACGCGTGGGGGAGTGTGATGCTCCATCCCAGCGAGGGATGCCAGCTGGTTTCATGTTCACAGAGAGCTCCGTGTTGTCCATTGTTCTCTGGGAGCAATCGGCCCGGGATTATGAAATAGTAATGAGGCTCCCACTCTCTCTGGCCATGGGCTTCTAGAGTTTCCTCTGCCTTGCCTGCGATCTGCTCAGAGCTGTCTCCTCTGAGCGAATCCCAGCCAAGGCAACACAATGGAGGGAAAGCGGCGCTGACAGCCAAGCTGCTAGGAACCTTCCCCCTCACTGCTCCTGTGCTGGGAAGGTAACTGGGCTGGGGAGAAGGGGGAGGCCAGCACCCTGGGGATATGCCAGAGCCCTTATAGAGCCAGGGAGGGAGGGGCTTTGGCTCCAGCCCTCCTGACTGCATCCTCCTCCCCCAGGAAAGCCTTTGCCCTGTGCTATGGCTCATGGAGCCTTGGCCAAAATCCTCCAGAGGCAGGAGAATGCAGGGGATGAGCAGCTCCCCCCAGTTGGGGTATCAGCGCTCGTGTGAGGGGCAGTGTCCAACCATTCTCACAGCTCACCAGGGCAAAGTCAGACTCGGGCTTGTTAAATGATCCTGACGGGAGACAGCTTTATCGGAGGGCACTTATGTGACCAAGCTAAGTCCTGGGCCTCCCTTGGGAAGGTTCCCCTTTCCTCCACCTGGCCTGATGCTCCAGATAGCCCTCTCTTCCGCTATGCCTTTCAAGTGTTCGCTTTAGACTCAGTGCCCCACCCCTCTTCTCCCTCACTCACTCTCTGTCTTGGGGTGACTGCAGCCAGGAGAGGCAGGGTAACTACGCCAGCATCCAACAAGGCCTCTTTCTGGACTGCCGAGGCAGGAGAAGCACAGCCTGAGGGTGAGGGGTCATGGAGCAGTGACAGATCCGGCACCTGGAAACAAGCTGGTGTTAGGGGGCTGCCCTGAGAGCCAGGGTAGGAATGAGAGGCCCTGTGGGAGGAGATAAGGATGATAAGACTTCCCCACTAGCCTGGGGAACGGTGGAGTCACCAGTTTTCCCCTTTATCCCCACAGGTTCCAAAGGAACATGCTGTGGAAGCCCCACGTGATAATACCACTAGTGCACCAGACCCAGCTGGACCTTGGGACCCCCTGTGCATCTTAGCGCCCCAGTGTGAGCTGTACGTGTGTGTGGGCTTTGAGGACGGAAGAGAGAGGTGAGTTTTGAACATTGGGAGGGGACGTCTGGAAGCCCTTCCCATTCCCTGGTCCCTGCTAGGTAGATAGGAAGAGGTGGGCTAGGATAGATGTCATCCCACTGTAGGAGCTGGAAGGGAGATGTCTTACCACGGATCCCTGTTTGTTGTGCAATGGGCAGATGGGTCAAATTCTGAAAACCCACCGTCACCGGGGGCACTAGCCAGGCTCCTCACCGGCAGCCTTAGTAGACTGGACTCCCTTCTTTCTTAGCCGCTCCAGAGCAGGACTCAGGACCAGTGGCAGAGTGTGACATGTGGGGAGTGCCCCCCTTCCTCAGCCCTGCCTATCCTGCCCCTGCTTTGGAGATTAAGGACTTGGGTGTCTAGGGTGCTGTTTCAACAGTGCCTCATTCACAGAGCTTGCCGTGCCTGCCACTGGTAACACTCAGCTGTAAGTCACGCCTCCCTCGCTCACCACCAGCTGTTTGTGTTTCCTTGCCTCACAGCTGGCAGGAGAGCTTGGCATATACCCAATTCAGCAGCAGAGCCAAGGGCAAGCACAGAGGAACCAACACCAGTACCTATATCAGCACCGGCACCAGTACGGGAACCAGCACCACGCTCGCCAGGGTGAGATGGGATCGTCGTGTCTTTTGGATTGGGCTGTGTAATTCCCCTTATGCCTTAACCCCTCAGCACCACTTTCCCCAGTCTCCTTCTGAGACATGCAAACCCCAGAGATAAAGGGTTAATAGGACCCTATTGAGATCTTCTGGGGAACTTGCCGAGTGTTGATTAACTGGGGGTGGGAAGGAATAGAGGTTGGCTATGGTATAATTGTGCATTCGCTATAGCTAGCAGGTCTGTACTGCTCCCTGTGGTGCCTCCTACTGGAAGAGCCTGGGATTGTAGCTATATCATTCCCAATAGCGCCTCCTGCCAGGAAAGGCTGGAACAGATGTCCTAACATGGTCTTTTTCCTTCCTCAGAACTGGGAAATGACCAGGCTGCTGGACAGCATTTTGGGATCAGACAAACAAGACATGATGAACTATGCAGTCCAGAGGAACGAGGTGCAGACTGGAGCCCTGCAGTCAGACAGACCCAGATGGGGTCAGAGCATATCCTGTGGATCCCGGCAGAGAACAGAGTCTCAGAGCTTCATGAAAGAAATCTCCCCTTGGAAAGCAGGTATGATTGGTTTGCTCCCACTAGGGATATCATAGTATAGTCGATTAACTGATTAAATGATGAGCAAAAGCTTATAGGTTAATGCTATCAACTACACATATTTCCCTCCTCCCACCCTTGTCCGTAAATCTTTGAGCAGGCTGGCCTGCAGCCCATCTTAGTTCTGGCTCATTCTGAGTCCAGAACCTACTCCAGCTGCAGTTCTGCATTTAAAGTGTATTAGGAGCCAGGCAGGCAGGCAGCTTGGCTCAGTTTCAGCTCAGGGAGCTCAGACCCCCCTCAAACAGGGGCTGCTGCCACCCCATGCTGCTGCCTCTTTATTAAAGGCAGCAGCATGGGGTGACAGGCAGCCGGACCTCAAAGGGAGCTGGTTTTTAAACTGGCTCCCCTCATGGACCAGCTCCTGCCTGGCACCCTGTGCTGCTGCCTCTGATATAGCGGCTGCCGGCCCCGCCCCCAGGGACTATAGACTAGTCGACTAACCAGTAAGAATTCATGAGGTTACTCAACTATTCAATTAACCGATATTTAACATCCCTAGCTCTCACCATGCACCACAGTTCTGGATATAGATGGCTCATTCCCCATGCATGGCTGGTTATGGAGTCTCTGGTTCAAAGGTTTGTTTAGATTGTAACCTCTTTGGAGCAGGGATTGTCTCTTAGTCTGTCCAATGCCTGGCAGAATGAGGTCCAGTCTTAGCTGGCCCCTAGGCACTACCATAATAAATGTGATACATGGTAATAACAGGACCCAGGGTCTGTGTAGTTTTGCTCCAGTGTCCCTGAGCTTCTCAGCCTCACCTGCAGTTCTCAAACCAATGTCCATGCAGTTCTGGTTTTGGGGTTTCTGGTTCCTAGTGTCCCTGTGCTCCTCAGCTTAGCCTGGCGCCTATAGTTCTAAATGCAGTGTCTGCAGGGTACTAGGTCTTGTCCATGTTGTTCTGAGTTGTCACTGGCTGTCCTCCCAATATCCACTTTGTACTAGATCTGACCCACTGCTGCTTCTGGGTCTGCCTTGTAGAGCTGCCCTGACCTCCATCTTCTGTTTCTCTCCCAGAGCCCAGCCCTGTAAGCCAGAGCCCTGGGGGTGGCTGGGCAAAGCATCAGGTGGAGAGCAGTTATTTCTCTCCAGAACGCCGGAAATCTGACTCCAGCTGGGTCTCTTCCCCTTCACGAGGCAGCCGTAGCACCTTGCCCACGCACAGTGACCTGGTAAGGACAGGTGGGCATCTCACTTCCTCCGTCAGCTCCTTGGACTCTGGCTTACATAGGCACAGGAGTGGCGACGGCGAGGGGCGACATGGCTTGGTGCGGCAGGAGTACACGATGCTGGCTGATCTGCCCAAGCCCAAGCGGATCAGCCACAGGGAGGCATTTGAACAGGAACGCAGCAGTTCCCGCACTCGGAGCCCAGGCCGGGCTGAGGTGGAACGGATCTTTGGATACGAGCGCAGGTGAAACATGGGGTGAGGGGGCAGGTGGTGGGGAGGACAGGCCTAACAATAGGTGAGCTGCCCCCAGGTTGATATGACCGAAGGCCTGATTTTTTGAAGATATGTGAGCGCCCACTGCTCTCCTGAGTGCCTGAAGTTCAGCCCCCTCCCATTGGTTAGAGAGTCCTTTTTAAACTCTGTTTAAAGACTAGTGTAGATTGGGCTTGAGGCAGGACCACCACCCTTCTGTGAGGGGCCTCCCGGGAACTTCTAAATTTGAGTGTTAAAGTTCCACAGCGTGTAGCAGGTGGGGTGAGGCTATGGGGAGATGAAATGGGGGAATAGCAAGTCTCAGAGGCTAGACTATAGATGGGGAGGCACAATGATGCTGGATAGAGAGCACAAGTGGAAATAAATCCGAGTGGGCAGTCTGGTGGATGGGGTGGAAGATAGGAGGGGTAAATGGGGTGTGGAAAGAATTACTGGGTACAAAAGGAGTGGGAAAGGAGTTGTGATTAAATAGAAGGGGAGTGGAGATCATGGCCAGGGATAAGTGGGGAGACAGGGAGGAGATGCAGGTAGTGGAGGAATGCAGAGCATGGGGGAGGGGGGATGGTTGATGTAGAGGGGAGCGCAGGAGGGGAGGTGGACTTGGGCACAGAGCAGCTGACACTGATGGAGCTGGGAATCCAAACTCAGGAATATGGTATCGTGGTCTCTGTCCTGCTGTGACCTGTGAATGCTGGGGAGGACTCTGGGCTGGGGACCTCTTGAAGCCCAGAAGAAGAGTACTTGTGATTAGCTTGGTGTGTGGTTGTTAGGAAGACGGAGACACTGGAGGCGTTCCAGGCCTTGGAGGAGGGCCTTGTGGAGCGGCTGGATGGCAAGACCCCACTGCTGGCCAAAGAACGCCGATTAGGCCGGAGGCAGTCCAGCCCCACCCTATACAGAGAGGTGAGTAGCTGGACCCCTTCCCAAGCTGCATCTCCTCCGTTCCCTCTCCGTGCCACACAGCTCTACCTCCTCCTCTTACTATCACCTCCACTTTCCCCTTCGTATCGGCCACTTGATTCCCAGATCCTTCTCTTTCTCCATCCCCTTCTCCTTTCCCTTACTGCCAAAGCAGGCCACTGCTCCTTCGCTGCTGGGGTGAGAGGGGCAATTTCCTTAGATTGCGCTGCATGTGTGCAGCTGAGTGTGCACACCGCTGCCCCCTACTGGAGCATAAGACATGTTAATGTTTGAAAGTTCTGTCTGTGAGCTGAGCTAAGCACAGCTGTGGAGCGCACTGGCTGCCGGCCCCGCCCCCAGGGACTATAGACTAGTCGACTAACCAGTAAGAATTCATGAGGTTACTCAACTATTCAATTAACCGATATTTAACATCCCTAGCTCTCACCATGCACCACAGTTCTGGATATAGATGGCTCATTCCCCATGCATGGCTGGTTATGGAGTCTCTGGTTCAAAGGTTTGTTTAGATTGTAACCTCTTTGGAGCAGGGATTGTCTCTTAGTCTGTCCAATGCCTGGCAGAATGAGGTCCAGTCTTAGCTGGCCCCTAGGCACTACCATAATAAATGTGATACATGGTAATAACAGGACCCAGGGTCTGTGTAGTTTTGCTCCAGTGTCCCTGAGCTTCTCAGCCTCACCTGCAGTTCTCAAACCAATGTCCATGCAGTTCTGGTTTTGGGGTGTCTGGTTCCTAATGTCCCTGTGCTCCTCAGCTCAGCCTGGCGCCTACAGTTCTAAATGCAGTGTCTGCAGGGTACTAGGTCTTGTCCATGTTGTTCTGAGTTGTCACTGGCTGTCCTCCCAATATCCACTTTGTACTAGATCTGACCCACTGCTGCTTCTGGGTCTGCCTTGTAGAGCTGCCCTGACCTCCATCTTCTGTTTCTCTCCCAGAGCCCAGCCCTGTAAGCCAGAGCCCTGGGGGTGGCTGGGCAAAGCATCAGGTGGAGAGCAGTTATTTCTCTCCAGAACGCCGGAAATCTGACTCCAGCTGGGTCTCTTCCCCTTCACGAGGCAGCCGTAGCACCTTGCCCACGCACAGTGACCTGGTAAGGACAGGTGGGCATCTCACTTCCTCCGTCAGCTCCTTGGACTCTGGCTTACATAGGCACAGGAGTGGCGACGGCGAGGGGCGACATGGCTTGGTGCGGCAGGAGTACACGATGCTGGCTGATCTGCCCAAGCCCAAGCGGATCAGCCACAGGGAGGCATTTGAACAGGAACGCAGCAGTTCCCGCACTCGGAGCCCAGGCCGGGCTGAGGTGGAACGGATCTTTGGATACGAGCGCAGGTGAAACATGGGGTGAGGGGGCAGGTGGTGGGGAGGACAGGCCTAACAATAGGTGAGCTGCCCCCAGGTTGATATGACCGAAGGCCTGATTTTTTGAAGATATGTGAGCGCCCACTGCTCTCCTGAGTGCCTGAAGTTCAGCCCCCTCCCATTGGTTAGAGAGTCCTTTTTAAACTCTGTTTAAAGACTAGTGTAGATTGGGCTTGAGGCAGGACCACCACCCTTCTGTGAGGGGCCTCCCGGGAACTTCTAAATTTGAGTGTTAAAGTTCCACGGTGGGGTGAGGCTATGGGGAGATGAAATGGGGGAATAGCAAGTCTCAGAGGCTAGACTATAGATGGGGAGGCACAATGATGCTGGATAGAGAGCACAAGTGGAAATAAATCCGAGTGGGCAGTCTGGTGGATGGGGTGGAAGATAGGAGGGGTAAATGGGGTGTGGAAAGAATTACTGGGTACAAAAGGAGTGGGAAAGGAGTTGTGATTAAATAGAAGGGGAGTGGAGATCATGGCCAGGGATAAGTGGGGAGACAGGGAGGAGATGCAGGTAGTGGAGGAATGCAGAGCATGGGGGAGGGGGGATGGTTGATGTAGAGGGGAGCGCAGGAGGGGAGGTGGACTTGGGCACAGAACAGCTGACACTGATGGAGCTGGGAATCCAAACTCAGGAATATGGTATCGTGGTCTCTGTCCTGCTGTGACCTGTGAATGCTGGGGAGGACTCTGGGCTGGGGACCTCTTGAAGCCCAGAAGAAGAGTACTTGTGATTAGCTTGGTGTGTGGTTGTTAGGAAGACGGAGACACTGGAGGCGTTCCAGGCCTTGGAGGAGGGCCTTGTGGAGCGGCTGGATGGCAAGACCCCACTGCTGGCCAAAGAACGCCGATTAGGCCGGAGGCAGTCCAGCCCCACCCTATACAGAGAGGTGAGTAGCTGGACCCCTTCCCAAGCTGCATCTCCTCCGTTCCCTCTCCGTGCCACACAGCTCTACCTCCTCCTCTTACTATCACCTCCACTTTCCCCTTCGTATCGGCCACTTGATTCCCAGATCCTTCTCTTTCTCCATCCCCTTCTCCTTTCCCTTACTGCCAAAGCAGGCCACTGCTCCTTCGCTGCTGGGGTGAGAGGGGCAATTTCCTTAGATTGCGCTGCATGTGTGCAGCTGAGTGTGCACACCGCTGCCCCCTACTGGAGCATAAGACATGTTAATGTTTGAAAGTTCTGTCTGTGAGCTGAGCTAAGCACTGTAATACTGTTGGCATACAGCAGTACCCCTTAATTTGTAGACCATCAGTATCAAGACCCAATGGCTGGAAGTTGAAAGTAGACCAATTCAGACTGGAGATACCATGTCCTCTTTTAACAACGAGGGCAATTGATCTCTGGGACAATTGACCAAGGATCATGGTGGATTCTCCATCACTGGAAATGAGTGGAAATCCATCAGCTTCACAAATGTACAGACTTCCTTTCCATCACTGGTAATTTTTAAATCAAGATTGGATGGGGGAGTTCTATGGCCCGTGATATACAGGAGATCAGACTAGATTACCAGATAGTGGTCCCTTCTGGCCTTGAACCTATGAACTGAATGTGTCCATCTGGTAATTGTCTCTTTCCTCCAATTTGCATGTGGACAAGCTTGTCGCTCCTTTATCCTTCCTCTGATCTCATCCCTAGGGAAACAAGAGGCTCCCACAGCAGCTGGAGCAGCCTGGCAAAGGCCGAGGAGAAGCCCTGCTCTCACTGAGCCCAGATCGGCGGTCGGAGAGAGACCGGAGAAGCCGAATGGAATCCATGTGCCACACAAGTACTGATAAGTGCATGGACAGAGAAAGGGTGCCTCGTCAGCCCTCGAACCCTGGGAAACAGATCGACAGTAACTGGAAAAGCCGAAGGGATTCTCTGCACCCCACAAGCCCCATGAAAAGCTCAGATAACAGCTGGACTGGCCGCGGGGACTACCTGCATCCTGCGAGTCCTGGGAAGCAAGCAGAAAGCAACTGGAAGAGCCCAAGGGAGATGCACCCAGTGATGAGCACTGAGAGAAAATGGAGGGGTGCAAAAGAGCCCCTGCACCCTATGAGTGCGGGGAAACACACGAGTGAACGACAGAGCCGAGAGGAGAAACCTCACCCTGTGAGTTCACGGAGATACACAGAGAGTGATCAGAAGAGCTGGAGCAAATCACTGGGCCCCATGGGTCCAACTAAGCAGCCAGAGAGGGACTGGAGGAGCCAGGCAGAGACCCTCCGTTCCAGGAGTCCAACCAGGCAGCCAGAGGGGGACTGGAGGAGCCAGGCAGAGACCCAGGGCCCTAGGAGCCCAACTGGGAAGCCAGAAAGAGGCTGGAAGAGCCGGGAAGAGACTCTGTGCCCCAGGAGTCAAACTCAAAGATCAGAGGACAACTGGAGGACCCAAGAGGAATCCTTATGCCACATGAATCCAGTGCAACAACTGGAAAGAGACTGGAGGAGCCAAGGAGAATGTTTGTACTCTGTGAGCTCAAGGCACCAACCAGAGACCACTTCGAAAAGCCCTGTGAGCCCCAGTCAATGGAAAGAAAGTGACTGGAAGAGCCATGAGCAGTCTCTACACCCAAGCTCAAAGAAGCAATTGGAGAATGACAGGGTCAAAAAGGAGAACCTCTTGCATCAAGTGAGTAGATCTGTGGAGGAGTGAGTCCTAAGGGAACCAGTGTCTGATGGGAAGTAAGCCCCTCCCCCAGCAGATCCAAACCCTGGGAACCAATCCTCAGTTTCCACAGAGCTGGAGAAACTCACCCCTTGCTGCCCCACCCAGCGAATAGCACCCAACTTAGCTTCTCTGATGTTTAGCTCTGTGCCATTCCTTGCAATGCCTCCTGCTGGCCAGGATAGTAATAGAGCTCTGCCCCTGCATTTTCCCTGTCCCCTGGTGTCGCCTCCCCCAGCCTGAATGTAGAGTGTTTTGTCCTCAGCTCTGTGGGGGTGAATTTCCTCGGGAGTGTGTTTGGAGATGGGGACGCGCTTATGTTGAATGGGGGGGAGGTCAGAATCCTGGGGCTTAGATCTTGACTTCTCTCCCTATAGTCCCATCTAGCTGGAGGCACACCCCAACCTCTCCACAGTGCCAGCTCCTCAGGAAACCAAGACCTTTATCTGAACACTAATGGGCAGCACAACAAGGTACTCCATAAGCTGGGGAAGAAGGTGGGACTGGAGTATGTGTATGTGGGGAGAGGGGACCTGTTCAGAAGGGAATTGGTTGGACCATTCTCTGAGACAGAGGCTAGCTGGCCGCTCAGGTAGGTGCTGTCTCAGCATGCAGCCCCTCCCCCCCACACTGTGTCTGAGCCAGTCTGTGCTTGAAAGGCAGCTGTGAGACATTGCATTGCTGGTTTTTGTGAGAGGTGGGTAAATCTGCAACTGCATCTTCTTCCTCTCCATTTACCATGCTCCATAGCACATTATACACACTAATCAGTCCTTCCAACACCACCTATTCCACAGGTGGGGAAACTGAGGCATAGAAAGGCAAAATGATCTACCTGAGGTCACAATGTGAATGGGTGGCATAGCTGGGTTTGAAATGCAAGAGTTTCTGGCTTCCAGTGCTGAGCTCAGTCTAGTGTCTCTCTCTCATCCTGTGATAAGGTGCTGCTAACTGTTGTATCTGGATAAGGGGAGGAGTTATTTTTAAAAATAGACTCCAAGTTGAACGATTGTGCCTGTTCTCTTGTGATTTGGTCATGATCTCATCAGTGAATTTGATGCTGATGATCTGATAATCCTGAATCTTCTGTTGAATCTGCGTCATGTACTATGTGAGCAGCAGTAGTGCTCTGTTCCCTACCTCCCTCCCCTTCAGAGTGCCTTAGCCCTTCCCTGGAAGGATTTCCTCCTTGGGAGAAAGGGGAGCTCTCTCCATGGCCTAGTCATGCCTCAGCTGAGCATGCCAAGAAGGGAGCCAATGCAGGAGGATCATGAAGGGAAATTTGTGACTGGATGTGGGCAACTATTTGCTCTGGACTGTCACTTAACAACTTATTTCCTAGGAAACATCAGACAGCTGTCAGATGGGAATGTCTTGCACTCAGTATCCACTGGGGTTGGATTTGAATGGGTGATTCATATGCTATGCTCAATCCCTTGAGCCATGAAACTCTTGATCTAGAGGTGAAAGGCTCTGTACTCTGTCCCACATCTCTGAGAGAGCCACCCTGTATAGAAGGGTTGTGTGAGTCTGTCTTCTGAAGTTTGTATTATTGGTGCTAACAACACTGAATTTGCTGCTGGCTTGTTTTCCCCTCCTTTGTAGGAAATACCTTCTCCATTCTGCGGCATTCTAGGACCCTGGGCCGATGAGAGAACTGGCTCCAGCTAAACAACAGCAAGGGTTCACATCTTTCCTCCTCTCCTCCCCCATCCCACCTTTTCATCTCCCAGCAGGGGCTATTAAAATGCTAATGCTCTTGAGTATCAGGTTGTCACTTGGTGGGAAGCCTAGCACTCTCTGGGCCTCTCCTTCTTGGAGTTCCTTATTGCTTACTTTCCTCACTCCTCCAGCTGGAAGCAGACTGAACCCTGAGGGGATGTGCCCTTTCCTCTTTGACATTTGTTCTTTGTTGACTGTTTGTTGCAGAGAAACTATATAAATTCTTTGCATCAGTCTTGGCTGAGGATGTGAAGGAGAGTCGTAGTCCTGAGCCATTCTTTTTAGCTGACAAATCTGAGGAACTATCCCAGATTGAGATGCCATTAAAGGAAGTTTTGGAACAAACCAGTAAACAGTAATATGTCGCCAGGGCCAGATGGTATTTACCCAAGAGTTCTGAAGGAACTCAGATGTAAAATTGTGAACTACTAACTGTACTCTGGAGTCCTGTGGCATCTTAAAGACTAACAGGAAAAAAAGTGGATTTTTGCCCATGAAAGTTTATATCCAAATAAATCTGGTAGTCTTTAAGGTGCCCTAGGATTCCTTGTTGTTTTTGCAGATACAGACTAATACAGGTAGCCTCTGACAACTATAGTCTATAACCTGTCATTCAAATTAGCATCTGTACTAAACGACTGGAAGATAGGTAATGTGAAGCCAATTTTTTTAGGGCTCCAGTGGTGATCCTGGCAATTACAGGCTAGTAAGCCTGACTGCAGTACTGATCAAACTATAAAGAACAATATTGTCAGACGTACAGATGAACGTGCTACAGGACTGCTACTTACAGTTTGTTTCGGAAGAGTCAACATGGTTTCGGTAAAGGGAAATTATGCCTCACCAATCTACTAGAATTCTTTGAGGGGGTCAATCAGCATGTGGACAAAGGAGATCCGGTAGATATAGTGTACTTAGATTTTCAAAAAGCCTTTGACAAGGTCCCTCACAGAAGGCTGTTAAGCAAAGTAAGTCGACATGGGATAAGAGGGAAGGTCCTCTCATGGATTGGTAATTGGTTAAAAGACAGGAAACAAAGGCTAGGAATAATGGTCAGTTTTCAGAATGGAGAGAGGTAAATAAAGGTGTCCCTCAGGGGTCTGTTCTGGGACCAGTCCTATTTAACATATTCATCAATGATCTGGGAAAGGGGGGTAAACAGTAGGGTGGCAAAATTTGCAGATGATACAAAATTATTCAGAATAGTTGAGTACAAAGCTGACTGCAATAAGTTACAAAGGGATCTCACAAAACTGGGTAATTGAGCAACACAAGGGCAGATGGAATTCAGTGATGATAAATACAAAATAATGCACATGGCAAAATATAATCCCGACTATACATACAAAATGATGGGGTCTAAATTAGCTGTAACCACTCAAAAAAGAGATCTTGGATTCATTGCGGATAGTTCCCTGAAAACATCCACTCAAAGTGCAGCAGCAGTCAAAGTGAAAAGAATGTTTGGAATCATTAAGGCAGGGCTAGGTAATAAGACAGAAAACATCATATTGCATTTATGATCCATGGTATGTGTACACCCACAGTTTGAATACTGTGTGCAGATGTGGTCACCCCATCTCAAAAAAGATGTAATGGTATTGGAAAAGGTTCAGAAAAGCACAGCAAAAATGAGTAGGGGTATACAACAATTTCCTTACAAGGAGAGATTGAAAAGCCTAGGACTTTTCAGCTTGGAAAAGAGATGACTAAGAGACATATGCTAGAAGTCTATAAAATCATGGCTGGTGTAGAGAAAGTAGATAAGGAAGTGCTATTTACTACTCAGAATGCAAGAATTAGGGAGTCTCCAAATGAAATTAATAGGTCGCAAATAAAATGAAATATTTCTAATAACACAGTCAACCTATGGAATTATTTGCCAGAGGATGTGGTAAAGGCCAAGACTATAATGGGGGTTCAAAAAGAACTACATAAATTCATGGAGGATGACTATCATGTCCATTAATAGCTATTATCCAGGATGGGCACGGACGGTGTCCCTAGCCTCTGTTTGCTGGGAGTTAGGAATGAGTGACAGGAGATGGGGCACTTGATAGTTACCTGTTCTGTTCATTCCCACAAGGCACCTGGCACTGGCCACTGTCAGAAGATAGGATACTGGGGTAGATGGATATTTGGTCTGATCCAGTTTGGCTGTTTTTATGTTCTTTCTTAGTGCCCTCCTCTTGTCCAGGCTGGTGAACCGCAGAAAGAGGGAAGTGGAGGGTCAAAAGGGTTACGCATCTAACTCTGTCTAGACTACATTCCTCTTCCGAAAGAGGAATGTAAATGAGGCAAATTGAAAGTGCAAATGAAGTGTGAATTTAAATATCCTGCACATCATTTGCATATTTGCATCCAAATCCTTTTTCGAAAAAGGGTTTTTTGAAAGTGAAAGCGCAGTCTAGACAGGGTTCTTTCGAAAGAACTTGTACTCCTAATTTTTTCAGAAGTATGGGTTCTTTTGAGAGAGGTTCTCTCCCTCCCCCCCCCCCGAAAGAACCGGGTCTAGACTGCACTTTCACTTTCGACAAACCCTTTTTCGAAAAAGTGCTTGGACGCGAATATGCAAATGAAGCACAGGATATTTAAATCTGTGCTTCATTTGCACTTTCGATTTGCCTCATTTATATTCCTCTTTCAGAAGAGGAATGTAGTTTAGACCTCCCCTAAGTGTTTTCTATAGTATCTGTCGCTATAGTACCGAAACACTTAAACGCATGGTTTAATCTGTATCCGTTGTGATGGCACCTTGTAACCAGAGTATCTGGCTGCTGAATTCACACACAGAAAAATGCATTTAATTTTGTAACACCTCTGTGAGCTGGGGAAAGGTTATTAGCAACATTTTACGAACAGGGCAGCTGTGTCCTACAGAGAAATTGAGTAACCTGCAGAAAGTCCAGTAGGAAGCCTGTGCTACCTATAGGAATTTGACTCAAGACACCTTGTGGCTCAGTCCAATGCTTGCGTTAACCACAGGACCACCCTTCCGTCTTACACTTCACCCAAACTCAGCAGATATCTCTGCAATTGCACAGGCCCTTAAAGACTAGCCAGTGTTTCAATTTGGCTGTCATAGGCAATATTGTGTAGTAGCTGTGTCAATTCCAGGATACAAGAGAGGCACCATAGATAAAGTAATAGTTTTTATTGGAGCAGCTTCTGCTGGTGAAAGAGAGAAGCTTTCAAGACACGCAGAGCTCTTCTTCAAATGTGGCTCAAAAGCTCATGTCTCTCACCAACAGAAGTTGGTCCAATAAAATATATTACTTCGTCTACTTTGTCTCTTTATAGGCAATATCCAGAGCTGTAGCATGGTCAGTGGCTCCGCTGGTCATATGAATCTTTCTCAGATCTCTGTAACCATGCACCAATTTCCATTATCTATGAGGTTCACAGGTGGAGCCCTGCATGGATACAAAACTTGTATCTGCATTTGTATCTGCAAAAGTGAGCTGCGGATATCCACACCCACATCTGTGGATGCGCATACCTGTGAATATACACAAATGTGCAGGGTTCTAGATACAAAATTTGTATCCACAACTGTATCTGCAAAAGTGAATTGTGGCTAACCATGGATTTGCAGGACTCTATTCATGGGGCCAGGAGCAGGGGTCAGAAGATGAGCTAGTGCAATGGCAGATGATGATGAGGGCACAGCAGGGCCGGGCCGAGCCATTCGTGCACCCCGGGCCCCAGGAGCGCAGCCCCGCCCCCGGGCGTGAGATGCATGTGCGGCCCC